CCCACCGGCGCGAAGCGGAGCGCCGGTTCGTTTGCTCCCTTTCATTGTTCTTCTCTTAAGAGATACTTTTTGTACATTTTTCAATAATTTCGTAGTTGAAAATCTGCACTTCTGATTCTTCAGAACCAACCATACAGAAGTCGTGCGAAAACTGCTTTTATCCAGTTTATTGCAGGTAGCTTTGTAATGAAATTGTTTTCAAATGCCGCAATTGTCAAGAATTTCATTTTCTTAACTTCATTTAAATGATGATAGTCAACCGTTTTATTCTCTTTAGAATGAATTTTAAAGATCTCAAGTAGCTTCATAATTCGGCGATTTTCTCAAATTATGTGAAATGTGAAATTTCTAGTGCCCCTTGTTCTCAATTACTCCGTTCAAGACAAATGAGGAGCCGGAGGCAGTTAGGAATCCTTCTAAACATTCCCATCATTTAATAATTAACTTTTGCACGTTTTTTAATCTGCTATTTTCAAGGGTTGTACAGTTTTTGTGTTTTTAGTTTTCTCTTAGTTGGACCTTAGGGGTTGGACATAAAGTTGCTACTTTAGACCGAGGAACATTGCCAAAGTTTCAAACTTCTATCTCAATTAGGAAAAAAGTTACAGGGGTGGTAGGTGACTTTTGGACAAGCCTGTACGGGTCAAAACGAACAGAAAAGTCCCATACCAAAATCCTCTCAGATGCGTGGTTCTCGAGTTACAGGGAGTTCAATTTTTTAAAACAATTTTTCCTACGTGTTCGGTTATGATGTCACAGTGGATATCCTAATCGTCGAAATTTTTACAGAAGGAAGATCTTACTTAGTTCTAGGCTGGTATTGAATTTGAGCGAAATCGGTCGAGCCGTTTAAAAACGGCGAGCTTTGAAAGTTTTAGGCGGGGGGTATGTGCGGCAAAAGAAGGGAAGCCGCACAGTGGGTCACGACCTGAAAATTGGTGGACAAGACGGCAATGTTGTCGCACAGTGGGTCACGAACTGAAAATTGGTGGACAAGACGGCAATGTTGTCACACAGTGGGTCACGAACTGAAAAGTGGTGGATAAGACGGCAATGTTGTCGTACAATGGGTCACGAACTGATGAACTGATGGCTATATTGCCGTAGAGTCCCTTTATAACACAGAGTTAAGACAACTCGATTATCAGCTGACTGGCAGCCGGCCTTGGCTGGCCATGGAGGCCGAAACGAGTGCACTCAAACGAACGATATTGAGGGATAAGGATAAGGAATCCTCCGATGTCTGTCATCCAAAAACAACAACATCAACAAAACGGATTAAAACCTTAAAATTAGATTGATTAGTGGATAATTTCTTAATCTATTTTCATTTTGGTGCGATTAAAATAACAATTCACTCTTGATAAACCACAATTTAGTTATATTTTCATTACTTTTGTTCACATTCGAGGTGCCGCCATCTTGGTGCACTCGTTTCGGCCTCCATGAGCGAGAACCAATCAGAATTGGATTTTTTTTAGGCCTCTTTCAGCCCTCTGCTGGTCAGCTGATAATCGAGTTGTCTTAACTCTGTGTTATAAAGGGACTCTATATTGCCGCACAGTGGGTTACAGACTGATAATCGGTGGACAAGACGGCAATGTTGTCGCACAGTGGGTTATGGAGATTCATCCATCGTCATTCGAGCTTGCCACAGCGTTTGTTGACATTTTTTCATATCAGACATTACATGAGGATTGTTGTTGCAATCTGGCGACATGAAGTCCTTATTCGAATAATCAATGCCTCCAACAGTGTAAACGTAAATTTAACCTCCAAAGATTGATAGCTCCCCGCCCCCGCCCCTCCCTTCGGAAAATACACTCTTCCCGCGGTGGACGCGCGGGCCACTTAAAAGACAGAACAACTGAGGCCGGATACTCAAAGTAAAAAACACGCGCGAAGCGCGCGTCCTGGGGGGCTTGGCCCCAAAAACCGGCGCGGAGCGAAGCGGAGCGCCGGTTTTTTGGTACTTACATCCATCCAAAATTTCTTTTTGAAGCATTAAACAATCTGTCTGAAGTATTGAGATTTCTCTACGTACTTTTTTAATGATTCTTTTTTGTTTTCTGTTGCAGATAGAGCTGCACAGACACTTTCTCCACATTTGCCAAGTTCTTTGTTCAGTTTTCTTCAATGAAGTTGATATTTATTGGGTTTCTAAGGGATTTTTCAATTGTGTCAAAACCTTTGAAAATTCTGTCTCTTGGCTGGTAGAGTTTTCGAAAAATTTGCTTTTTAAAACTGATTCCGCGCTGCACTGGTTAGTTAATTTTTAAAACAAACATCTGGTCTAGTTAAAAAATACTTAGTGGCAGCAACAGGTTCACACCCAAAATGAAATCAGGAAATGTTTCAGGTCATCATTTTTATCATGTGAATACATTTTTGGAACAAGTCATTAGACTGTGCTTCTAGGACATGATTTCTGTCAAGGAGTAATCTAACTAAACCCTCCATATTGTATGGCTATCATACAAGTCAGTGATTAGGAAATCATAAGGATTTAAACATTCAATCAAGTTTAAGTCTTCAAAATTACAAGATTTGTAGGGATCACTAAATAATAACTTTTTTTTTTTTTTTTTTTTTTAAGTAATATCAGGGCAGAATTCACTTGTTCATGATAGGGCTTTAACAGAAGGTAATTTTTTAGATTAACGAAAAATTGAGCTAGGTTTAATTCTCTGAATAATATTTTCAAATTAGAGGGGAGTGATTTTTACATTCTTATAGATATAAATTTTACATTAATTTCAGAAACTTTGGAAGATGTTTTAGGAATAGAGACGTTACAGCTTCTGATATCTTAAGAATGAGATGGTAGAAGATCTGCAGGTTTAATGTATCCATTTTAACTTGAATATTTTATATATTCAAAGATGTAGAGAGATGTAACTGAGAAAAGTTTACATGAAATTAGTAATTCATGAATGTTTAACGTCAGCCATTTGTTGCTAGCTAAAAAATAATTAAAAAAACCAGCAAAGAAGCAAAGAACCCCGAATAGTCTGAATCTGCAGGGTCTATGCGGGATGGGTACAGTCACATAATTTATTTTCAGGATCTTTTTTGCTACAGTGTTTTTTATTTTAGTGCACATTTCAAGACTGTGCAACATTTGGTTTGGTTGATTTTAGAGATAGGTCCCACTGAAGGGGAAGGTCCTCGCCACAGGCGTTGCAACAGGCCTATTGTTCCAGGTCATTCCAAGTGTCGTTGATACTGAAATTGTAAAAACAATCCCAAAGATGAGTGATTACCCAACTTGGAGCTTGTGATATTTTGCATTAACATAGCGCTTGTATACAAAAGTTCATCAACTTCAAAGGAGTATTTTCCATTTTTATTTATTTTTATTCTGAAAAAAATATTATGTTCAAGATAACGAAATGCATTTACATAGAAAATAATTTAGCTACAAATCACTCTGAGGGTTGCTTTAGCAAAAATTTTAAACGACCAGAAAGGTGGACGGTTGCCGAAATTGGCGCTTGTGATAAGTACTTCTCTTCCAAATGGCGCTTGTGAGACGAAAGTGCATTACCTTTATTTAATTTTTATTCATTATTCTACATGTTTGTACTAAAAAACATTATTTTTGTATGTGAATGCATCTCGTTATTTTGAAACTATTCATACCTCAATTTCGGTCAAAGTGGCGTTCGGGATACATTGGCCGCTAAGACGAGCCGCTATAATTTGGCCGCTAGGACAATATTAAGTATCTTTATGGTGATATTGACTCATATGTTCCTTATATTTATTTTTATTTTTTCTCATTTTTTTACATACTTACTAATATTCTCTCCTTGATTTTTATTCCAGTCATCTTCTTAATATAGAATCTCTACACAAAGTTCCCTATCACAGTTGGTTCAGATCTTGTTTTGCTGGAACACTTCATGAGTTAGCATTATTAAAGTAAGTAGCAACTTGTGATTCTCAAATCCTACTTTTTATTTTTCTCTTTTCCTTTTTTACCACATACATTTCTTTTTCCGTTTAAACCAAATCTGTGTATCTATATGCTTGTTATCACTTGATATTGGAGGTTTACGACTGATTAGCATGTTTTTCCCAAAGGAAATAACATTTGCATCTACTAACTTAGCCGAGGCCAGGTATGACTCAACTTTTCTCCCATAAAGGGTCTAGTTTTGGTATGTCTGCTAGGACTTTGATTCCCTGGATGACATCAGTAATTTTGTTTTTTTCATGCCCACAGAGTCTGGGATAAGGTGATATGTGGAGCTCATAAAATTCTTTGTGTAGTAAGTGTTGCCTTATTGCGGACCTTTCGGCACAGTCTCATGTCCTGCAATAATATTGCGGATGTTTCACACTGCTTTTTACAAGTAAGTCTTAAAGTTAATCAAGACACTCACACCTATTTCAAGCACCCTATTAGCGGCTCTGGCGGTGCTCGCACTCTAGTGCCGCTATTCAAGCCGTTCTTGATGCTGGCTGCAACAGTGTTCCATGTTACCAACGGTGAGAGCGCGCTGTGGGGGATGGGGAATAATTTTAAACCGGTACTTCGCACTACGACGTTCCACGCGACGCGACGGCTAGCTGTTCACTGGGTATGCAAAACCAAACATTCTTCTACCGAAGTAAACAAGACATCACTCCCAATAAAGTTATCTATGTGCCACACCTCGATAAATGATAGAATCTAGATAACTAGGCCACCACCTCATTGTACCTTTTAACCAATTTTCAGCAGTTGCTACGTTCACGAATTGGCACATGCCCCACTCCACGAATTGGGCAATTACACGAATAGAGCATGAGCGTTTTTTCATTTTTTGCCCAATGCGTGAACTGGGCAATTTTTCCCTGCCCCATTTCATGAAATATGCAACTTTCGCGGCATTTTACGATTTGGGCAACAGCATTGCTCATTTTATGAAACGGGCAAAAATCTGCCCATTTCATGAATTGGGCAAGTACACGATGTGTGCGTAACATGCGCACTTTAACTTTGCTTGGGGTACCCGGTACACCATGGCACCATTGTAGGATCATCTATGTCTTAATTTTCCTCCCGTGGGAACCGGAAATGTGTTCAAAGTGTGTCTAAGAAACCATTTTCTTTGATAAATTTTGAGAGTGTATCCAAAATGTTTATTTAAAGAACGTTCCTATTGATACGTTGTTATAGTGTCTTCTTGTGTCTAAATGCTTTTAGAGCAAGATTTCATTTAATGTGCAGGAAACGATAATCGTTGCTCGGCTCCCAGTCTGTGGAAGAAGGAGAATGTGTAAAAAGCCTTTCGAAAGTTTCCAACAAATCTTAAAGAGTTGACCCTCATGCAGAGGACCGTTGTAGTCCAAGTCCGGGCCGTTTTCTCTTGATCCGAACTCTTGATTTTTTCAAACAGTTATCAGCATCTTTTTGCGTTCTACCACTTGACAAACCAACAATACCACTTTGGCATTCCAGGAAATGGTTCATAATTTTGTGCGATGACAATGTCCTCCTCAATTTTTGTGTGTGAACAAAAGTGGACCCATGACAATATTGTTATTTCATGGTAATGGGAAATATTAAACATGATGTTTGTAAAGAGCCAAGATTCATAATTATTCAGACATAGTGAGTCGGTGTGGTCTTCTACATAACTAATTGAATTTTTGCATCGCGGCGGATGAGTACTTCGCCTGTTTGTGCAATGAAGAATGTTGCTGACTTTTGAACATGGTATTGCATGCAGCAACGCTGCCACATAAATCACTTAAGCTGCTAAATTACTTATTCTCGCCCTTTTTTAATAAACAAGAGGAGGTGGGCGCAGAAAGAGTTTATTATCTTGGCGACCCAAAAGACCAAATGTCAATAACTATAGCTCACTGGGAGACAGAGGGAATGATCAATCAAACCCTTGGCACTAGTACCCAATTAATCTATCTGTTATACCTTTGCAATATAAAATAGGGAGACCTACCTTTGAGTCAACACTTGTATGTCTCTCTCTGGCACCTAATTTTACTGTTAATATTTTGTTGGACGACAGATATCTGCCCCTGCTCCCCATCAGACTTGCCCTTTTTAAAGTGTGCCGTCTCTTAAGTGTGACTTTCGTAAATGAAGAATAAAATTTCGGCACCTGACTTACTGAAGTTTCTTAAAGTAGGACAAGTTTGGAGAATGTTGCAAAACGAAAGGAGGTAATCATTATTGATTCCATGCGTGTCAAGTCTTAATAAGTGCTGCTACTTACATTTTCGTTCCGTTGATTTTGCTCTATTGCAGATCTCGAAGGAGGCCTCAGAGAAAATAGTCAACAATGCACTAGAATTATGGTATCAGCAAGGAAGCTCAATTTTGCCCTTTGGTCCAATTCCAAAGGTTTAGTTTTTAAGCAAGCTTTTCAACATGTTTCTGTCTTCTCCCTGAGTTTGATTCAGTATCACAGGATGTCAATGTTTTTGTGTATTTGTAATTGTACGTCCAAGTTATTTTTAGTATTGTAAATGCAAATGTTTATACATTTGCGTAACTGTAATTTTATAATGTAAATTTGTATTATTGCCTCTTTGTAGTCTTGAATAAAATGTTGTTGTTACCGTAATTTCTGAACCCAGCTCATTCTCCTCCCTTATGTCAGATAGCTTAACCTATTTTAAAAGTTCTCTGGGAATCGGACATTTTCAAGGCATCATTGTGAGGAAAATTCCCTTGGCCAAAGGCGTTAAAGAGGTGAAGAGAGATGTTTATATTTCAAGCTGTAAAGTTAGCTTCTTCTTCATTTAAAAAAATTGAAAAAATGAGATAACAAAAAGCAGGAACATTTTCACAATCCTTTGATCCGAGGATTGCAGGCTCGCGGTGTACACTGATCGGACATACTGCACACCGTGGACGGTAGGTCTAAAGCGGCCGATACACCTATGAGTAGAACGCGTGTGTTGGAAGTGAAACACCAATAGGCAACAAGGATTTCGGTCGCTCGACTAACCCTACATTTAATCTTAACCGTAGTAATAACGTTTTTTATGAATAAATTGAAACTTTCCGCTCAGGGGGCACATTTCTTAATGAAATTTTCAGACGTTTTAGATAAAATTACGTACAAAATCGTCTTAAAAATTGAAGTAGAATATTCACAAATTTTCTTGAAAACTTTTGATTTGCTGAAGGAAATTTGGCAACGCTTGAAGGCTCATGCGGCGTTTATCCTCAGCACGGCAGTATGAATATTTGTGGCTAAGGATTCATTACTAATAAAGTTCCCTCTTGACGTAGGTGAGGTCGGGTAACTAAGCAAATGCCGGCCTCCTGTGGTGTAGTGGTTGTAGCGCTGGCCCTATGACCAAGAGGTCCCGGGTTCGATTCCCGGCCAGGTGATCTGAGTTTGATGGTCTCGGGCAATGGTCACCTGGGGCTGGGGTAATAAGCGTGGGATTAGCCGATAGGCTACTTGAAATTGATAAAAAGAAAAAAGAAAAAAAAATGTGCGGAGAGAAATGTCAAAATGTTAACTTCATTATTTTTTTCCCATCATTACATTGACAGTAGAGGCTACTTGTATATTTTTTATAGTAAGTGTAACACCTAGTCTAAATGTAGGATGAGTGAAAAGTTGAATTTTATCTTTCAATTTTTTCCAACAAATTTTCTAAAATTTCCTGTATTTTTTATAACCCAGTTACCCAACGTTGTGGGGTACCTGGACTATCCCCCCCCCCCCCCCCCCCCCCNTTAATTTCTGAGGGGGTAATTATTTTAAATTTTCATCGGCCAGAAGGTGATGCCCTTCTCATGCGTGGAGGTTTAAGAAAATGTCATTTTAATTTATATTAAAATGTTTAAGTGGTTACAAATGATGTTGTAACAGTTGGCGGTAAAAAAAACCCTCAAATCTGAGAATTCAATAACGGTCCAAAAAAAGAATTTTCCTTTTAAATAAATGCTTAGAACTTTCAGTATTATTACTTATCAAGAAGAATAATTTTTCAGGACACGTTTTGGCCAGTTTCAGTAAGGCTAAGGATGAATTTTTTTTAAAAAATAAGTAAATAAACTTAAGCAGCAAGGCTGATTTCGGTAGAGTAAAGCGTCAAAAAGTTCCTGTCGAAGCAAAGTAACTTTAAGGTGTGGTTGGGTAATTCGGTGGAGGGGTAACTGGGCCATACCCTGTATTTCTAGCCTATTAGTGCTAAAATCGTTTTCACAGTTGGTACACCGTCATAATGACGTAAGCCATCTAGAACATGTACACATAACCTTAAAAAACATGTTTTTTGATGATTGGTGAAGTGCCAAAAATTGAACAGCTTTTTCCCAAAACAACGCCAGAGGTGGTCCCGGAAAGAGCCTCATATCTCACTCCAAGGAAATATTTTATTCAACTTTGACATTTCCTCTTCGTGTATGATGTATTTGTGTAATGCGTGAGCAATTACAACATTATTGGATTATAAAACTGGCTGCGAAGAGTTGATGCCCAATTACCAGGAAAAGAGCCTTGCACAAAAAGGGCTAAAATTCGCCCGTTTTCGGGCCCTCGAAATTGGGGTCGGTGTGAGGTATTTTTTCATCTATAGGGTGACCCTTTACACATAATAAAATTTCAGATTGAGTATACGCACCGTTTTTGAAATATGGGGGGGCAAAGTCCCCGATTTTTACTCATATTTGCAGGTATTTTATAGTCGAACTTCGGCTGCTACAAGGTACCGGATGTAGATATTGAAGCGCGGTTTGCGGTGATTTGTCAAGCTATTTCTGGATTATTTTTTCACATCTTTTACAAACCCGCAAATGGTTTTTCGGGGGGGGGGGGGGGAGCTTTATTCATATTATCATGACCGTTCGTATACGTCTTACTGGCATTAATTGCTTCGTTCTCGACTCCTCTCCACGCCGTAATCATGATGGTATTTTCTGTTAGGAATCTTTCTTCTTCTTTATATTTGACCAATTCTAATGTTGTCTCCCCCTTTTTCCCTTTTTAAACCCCCCCCCCCCAATTCTAAACACTCCCTCTCAAGTGTATATTCCTGTGCGGCAGATATGAAGGTGTTATTTGTGGGGAATTATTTTCTGTCTTTATGGTTGATAAACTTTGACCCCACCTATTTCCTCCTTCCCCCCTTTACCCCTGTTTCCCCCCCCCCCATTTCCACCGTACCTTACTCGAAGTTGTCTGCTCCCTCTGCAGCAGAAATGAGGATGTTTCCGGTAACTATTACACTATCCGATAACTATTATACTCTCACAAAAAAAAGTATTCAAGCATGTAAAAAAGAGAAAAGGGGGGGGGGCAGTGGAAAGAGGGAATAAGGTAGGAAATATGAACTAGTGAGGGGGATGGGAAAGAGAAAAAAGGGTGGGGGGTGTCTCCCTTGTATTGAGTTTAAAAAAGTAAAAAATTATTCGCTGGAAACATCCTCATTTCTGCTGCGGAGGGAGCAGACAACTTCGAGTAAGGTACGGTGGAAATTGGGGGGGGGGGGTGAAACAGGGGTAAAGGGGGGAAGGAGGAAATAGGTGGGGTCAAAGTTTATCAACCATAAAGACAGAAAATAATTCCCCACAAATAACACCTTCACCTTCAGGTCACCCTATAGATGATAAAAAACCTCACACCGACCCCAATTTCGAGGGCCCAAAAACGGGCGAATTTGTGCATGGCTCTTTCCCCTTCGTGGGGTAGCTGAGCCGGTGGGCACCTGCCCAGTTCAAATCTTTTAAAAGTTTTTATTTCATTCCATTCAGTCAAAATATCATTCATGAACCTCATCCTATAATGAATTTAATAACACCTAAAGTTAATTATACTTAGGAACTTTTTGGCACTTTACTCCAACGTGATCAGCCTTGCGGCTTAAGCTTTTTTACTGATTTTTTAAAAATTTATCATCCTTAATCTAACTCAAACTGGCCAAAAAGAGTCCTGAAATATAATACTTCTTGATAAGTAGTAATACTGAAAGTTCTAAGCATTTATCTGGAAGAAATTTCTTTTTTTACCATTATTCAATTGTCTGATTTGAAGGTTTTTTTTTACCGCCAACTGTTACAACATCATTTGTAACCACTTGAACATTTTTATATAAAAATGACATTTTCTTAAATCTCCATTAGGAGGACATCATCTCCTGGCCAACAAGATTTAAAAATTATTCCCCCCTCCAAAATTAATGGGGGGGGGGGGGGAGTAGTAGTCCAGTTACCCCACAACGTTGGGTAACTGAGTCAAAATAAAACGGGAAATTTTTGAAAATTTGTCGGAAAAAATTGAAAGATAAAATTTGACTTTTGACTCGTCCTGCATTTAGACTTGGTGTTACACTTACTTAAAAAAAATGAAAAAATGTAGCCTCTAGTGTCAATAGGTATAATGATGGGGGAAAAATCAAGAAGTTGAAATTTTGACATTTTTCTCCGAACCCTTGCCCAGTTACCCGACCTCACCTGATATAAATATGTTCTAGACGACTTACGTCATGATGTTGGTACACCAACGGTGAAAACAATTTTAGCACTAGTAGGGTAGAAATATAGAGTGTCAGGCCCAGTAAGGTACCCCTCCGCCCAGTAACCCGACCTCACCATAATTATTCCCCTGGAGATATAAAATATCATTTATAAAATTTAATAGGCTAGGGGTAAATATTTGAGTACAGGCACTCCCAATAAAATACTGCTAGTACTTATGTATTACTGCCCGTGTTGTCCCCTTTTAACGGAGTTATATGGTGATGATAAAAACTGTAAACGTGACTTGAAAAACTATAAGAAACTAGTAATTGGCCTACTTCAGTCCATGTATTCAGAGTATCCAACATTTTTCAGTCTGCTATCTTCTCAATACCTTTGCCTTATTTCGCACCAAATAACTCAACAGCAGCGTATTAAATTAAAGTAAGTAAGAATAGAGATATACTAGCAACAAGTACCTAAGTATAGTACCTACACCTATGGAAGAGCATCGGTTGAATTTCACCTGTTCATCGAATATACTTTGCTTCTTCCTACTATTTGCTGCATAACTCAAAATCTTCGATAGCGAGCCCCGCGGAATAGCCTTTGCTTCGCACAGGAGCAAGAAAAGATAAGGGTACTTGATAATTGCAATTCAAATTTCTTGAATGAGCCTTCATAACTAGCATAGATTCATAAACATACAGATCTTCGGAAAGAATACTATGGTTCGAGTGCCGATTGTAATAATGTGCGTTACAACTACATAAGTAATACAAGTAGAGCGTTCCGTAGGAATCGTACAATTCAGGTTTTGGTGTAGCCAGATAGCTGTTGCATAGTCACTTTGGTTCGGCGTGGTTTAGGAAATTTTGCCTTTGATATTGAAATACTTTCATATCGATGAAGCCTTCACTTTAAATTAATCATCAAGCCGAGAAGATAGAATGAGTATATTTTCATACCTACTTTTCATGAAAGACTTTTCTAGCTGATATTGTCCGGCAAAATGATGTTTTCAGCAAACTTCCGACTTAAAATCAGAGAGACTTGGAAGGAACCAAATTGGAGCTATTGGGTTGTTTCACGATAACTGGAATAGTTTTGTCGCCGTAACAGACAACACATTTTTCGGTCATATTT